AGAGAATGATAGTGCATGTGGAGATGGGACATTGAGAACATGGGCTAGCAGGCAAAATACATGTGTAATGTCAGAGGCTAGCTAAGCTCAAAAATTATCTTTCTCTTTCTCTCTCTTTGGCCATGTGAGGGAGAGCATGCTTCATAATTCATGGGCCTCAATGTGATGGAATCCCTTTAACAGCTAGGCTCCTTTACCATCCCCATCCTCTTGTATTGTTGTTGGGTGGTGTTTATGTAATTTTCTTTTCTTCTGTTTTTTTTCCCCCTTCTCCCCTGCTAGGTTAACAACCTGTTCACAAAGTTGAATTGGGCCCAAATTCATCACAAGTTGTGAGATGGGGTCTCTGATGAAAGGTTGAGTGTGAGTGTGGGGTTCATACATTGTCACATGGGTGTGAGGTTTGCTTAACAAGATAATGTATATCACCTTATTTTACTTTTTTAGGGTTTGTTGATGATTATGAGATGATATATTTGTATAAGAATCTACAACTCCATGTGCAACTTTCTTCCTTCTTTCTTTCTTTTTGGTTCGATCTAACTTGTTGTCAGCCTTCCTTCCATGGAATTTATTCTTGGGGGTGTTAATATTGTGTGAATGATATGAAAGGTTAGCTAATGATTGATCTGTTAGGCTGGCCAAGCACATGCTTTGCTGGTGTCAAAATTGATAAAAGTGAGATTTGCCATGTGGGCAAGGGTTTGGTAACAGTATTTTATATCATGATAATACCAAGGAGTTAAAAGACGATAATACTCTCCTATTACTTCATTTGATTATCACAAATCAGTTATGGGCTTCGCTATCCAACAAGTTTACAGGAGAAATTTTAGGAGAAAAATCTTACTACTGTTCATTTTGGCTCTGCCCCAACCAACTCCATCCTCGGTCATGATTTTTTTTCCTTTTTTCCTTTTTTCCTTTTCTTTTGGTTGACCCAAATATAGAAAACCAATTGATGAAGATTGATGTAGAAGAGGGTGTTGCAGCTCTCGGGGACCTAAAATGGAAAATCCAAAGACTTGGAATAGAAGAAAACTTGATAGTTGCCAAATTGGAGGAGTCATAAGTTATCTTGCTGAGGAATCCTACAGTAGTAGTCTAGTAGAGGATAAAATATTGAAGTTCAGAGGGAATTATTGATTTTCTACAATCCTACTTTGTAGAGAATAATAGGAGAAATCGCAGGTCTAACACTAGAAGGAAACTAGCTTGCATAAATTTATTAGGAATTTCAATTTTAGGTACAGGGGAAAAAATTGCACAGCATAATTGGCATGCACGTCGCTACTTATTAGAATCAGGAAATTGAGAATAAATGAGATAACAGCAGAATCCGTCAAATAACAACGTCTGTATTGAAAGTTTCTGGGACCGTCAAACTATAGTATAATTTAAGCATGAAGTAGCAAGTAAGGTAGAAAGATCACTTGGAGCTAAGGCAAAAATTCAACACTTCGGCAAATAAAAATTTGAAACACAAGCAAAATAGGGTTAGAAGTAAAGCGCACCTGGATAACAAAACTGATAATTACATAAGATTCCAAAGTGTAACATGCTTCTCAACGGCTCCAAACATCTCCCGGTGCACAAAATACGTTAGGCTCCGTCAGCATAATACCTGTAATTTCTGGCACAGCAAAATGTAGTTACCAAACAGGATAACTTAAAATTTTAATGTATTACAATATCTAACAAACAAAACTCAGATTTATATGGAGAAGTACCATTTTCTGCACCCTTATTCGTGTAGAATTCACATACTTGACTAATTGAAATAAAGTGATCTCTCCATCAAGTATGTAAAATATTGTGTTTACCACCACACTATAGACCAAATGAAATTTACATGACGAATATAACATCCCTCGAATTGTTCTCCAAACAGGCACTCTTGATTGATTTTCTTTACATAACATTATAGTTTATACATGCAAATTAAAAGAAAGAGACATACCAGATAATCATTCATTATGGGGAAGCCACAAGCAGTTCAAGACAATAGTACACAACATAAATTCAAGGACAACCTCTATTGATCTTATTGGAAAATATACCATGAAGAAGAAAATAACTGAACACTCTCTTCACACACCAAGTAACTGAATACTCTCTTCACGCACCAATAATACTCCCTTCGAAAATAAGGCAATATACGCAGCATTCTTCTATCAGCAGACAAATGGAGCATCAACATGATCATCGCTGCAATAGAGTCCAGGACGCTGAGAGAATCCTTGCTTGGCCAGTATCTTCCGAGCTCTCTTGACAAGTGCCTGGTTACTAATTTCACCATCAGACTCCTTAAGAATAGTCTGGATAGCATTGCTAAGCGCCCCGTAAGCTCCACCACCTGGAGGATTTGCATCAGCTGATGTCTGGTCAGTCTGGCAACCGCTAATCAGTATTCCATTATCTGGAAGAGATTTATTATTGGCTCCTGCATAAACGTCTTGTTTCCTATTGACTTTTGCGTTTAATGCTGGTTTCACATAATCTTCATCATTTGACTCCAGTTTCTGCTGGAGAAATTCTTGTGCAAGACTCCCAACCATACTCATAAATCCGCCACCACTGCCTTCACCATTGCCACCATGTTGGAGTTTGTTCAGGATGACTTTCATGAACTTCTTAATCTTAGGACTTGCATCATCACCAAACATGTCAAATAATGTTGGCCTTATATTTCCCACATCAATATCTTCCTTTCCGGTCTTTTGCTTTAAGATTTCTATCAGTGTGGAGAGAGGGAGAGAGCGGTCCTTCATGTGATCGTTCTCAGAGCTGTCATCATAGTTTTCATCCTCAACTTGAGGGCGGTGGTGGCGATGATGGTGGCCTTCAAGGGGGAGGTGTATACCTCGTGACTCGAATGCGTCCTCTACTTGCCTTTTTAAGAAGGATTTGAAACCGAATTTGGAGCCAGAGGATTCTTCATCATCACCATTGCGCTTGGTGCTTTCTCCAATCTGTTCCTTGGCTTTATCAATCAGGCCACCACTATGGCAGGAATCTGAGACAATCGTAATTCGACATCCACGTGGGACTTCATCCACAAAGGCTCTAAAATCGTCATCTGCACCCACACAAACATTATCAAACTGACAAGATATACCAGATGGAGTGAATCTGTCTTGAAGAAAATGGGGCTGGACTATGAGGGGGTTATATGAGAAATAGTATTCATGCTTCCAACAATACTTAAGTTTCTACCATCTGTCTGTACTGTCAAAAAAACTACTTACAGTTAACTTTTGTTTTGACAGGACTATGTAACATGGAGAATGGGAGAGGCGAAAAGCAGCTAGAGGAGAAAGGGAGATTTGAAAAGGTTTAAATTCTGGTTTTGGATTGATTCAAAGGTTCAGGTTTGGTAACACAAATGCTCTTATCATGAAGCTATATCTTTATCATATACAGTTTGAAACTAGGCAGCAAATATTTTCTTATTATGAAGCCACGTCTGTCTCAGGCATTAACCGATAATACCCTGAAACCCCTAGATATGTATCGGCCTTTTAAATGTGTCTTAAATTTGTTAACATACTTTTACTGTTTAGAACATTTCAGTATATTCTTAAAGCTTATTAAGAAATTTTTTTATCCGATGCATATAGTGACATGTTGTACTTCAACTACTTCATTAATGAAAGCAGGAGGATGAGAAAGTGCTTGCTGAATAATAAATCCTAATCAGCATCTTCAACTTTAACATTTTATTTTTTTATTAAAAGAAAAAGTAATACCCAAATAACCGCCTCAACATGTCTCATATAACTTGTTGAAGTTAATCTTAATTTTAAAAGGATTTGAGTTAGTTATCTCTAGGAATTATAATCATACTAGAATTCTATTATAAGACACTTTGTAAAGCTTTTAAATAGGCATTCATGCATCCTTCTACCTAAGAGAAAAAAGACAGGGGCTGAATACTGTAGCTATAGTAACCAAGAGCTAAAAACAGCTTTTTATTTGCTTTTCCCACTGAATCTCTCCTCATATATATATATATTCTATTTATTTTGCCGTTATTGTCCCAACAAAACCGGTATTCTTTGCCTTAATTTCTTAGCAAAAACCCACTAAGCAATTGAAGGATAAACTATCTCACAAGTGCTCAAAATATATATATATATATATATATATATTACTTCTTTTTTTTTTGCGTTGATTGCTCCAACAGTGGTATTAGAGCCATGAACAATCTAAACGGGACTATGTCGTCTTCTATTGCTATATTTGATGGGAAGAATTATCAACGGTGGAGAGTACAGATGAAGATGTTGTTTGAATATCAAGATATATTGGGTGTAGAGAATGGAGTTGTCGATCTCGCAGATAGCGCAAGTAAAGCCGAGAAGAAAGCCCATAATGAGATCAAGAAGAAGGATCGAAAGACGTTATTCTACATCCATCAAGGAGTGAATGATTCAGTTTTTAAGAAGATCGACGGAGCAACTACAACAAAGCAAGCGTGAGATATTTTAGAGACATCATACCATGGAGTTGAGAAGGTGAAAATAGTTAGGCTTCAAACATTGAGATGTCAATTTGAAATTTTGCAGATGGAACCCAGTGAAAGTGTTGCAGATTACATGACTCGAGTACTTACTTTGACAAATCAAATAAAAATAAACGGGGAAAATGTTGTAGATTTAGCAATTATGGAGAAGATATTATGATCTCTTACAGTAAAATTTGATCATATCATGGTGGCAATCGAAGAATCGAAGGATTTGTCTAAGATGACAGTTGATGAATTGATGGGTACCTTACAAGTTCACGAGCAACACATGAACGAGAGGTCAACCAAGAAACCCCTTGAGAAAGCTTTTAAAAATCAAGCTTTTATAAAAAAATAACAAAGAAGAGCAGTACGAAAGAGACCAACGAGGAGGAAATTCCGTGGCAGAGGACGAGAATACGGAAACTATAACAACAGAGGACGTGGATACTACAATAGTCAAGGACGTGGCAGTTATAACAACAATCAAAGAGATGATGACAATCAGAGAAGCAATTATCAATCAAATTCAAATTATCGAGGTCGAGGTCAAGGTCGAGACTTTGGACGTGATAAAGGAAATTTTAATAAATCAAACAGTGAATGTTACATATGTCACAGATATGACCACAATGCAAAGGAGTGCAAGTACCATAATAATTCCCAATCCAGAGAAGAAGTTCGATTTGCACAAGAAAAAGATAATGAAAACAACCACTTTATTAATGGTCACGACAGCCGGTGAAGAATCAAACTACAACACATGGTTTGTTGACACTGGGTGTTCTAATCACATGTGCGGAAAGAATGAGTTGTTCGTGGACCTGGATGAGTTGATGCGGTCCAAAGTCAAGTTTGCTGATGACAACACTATACCAGTGATGGGAAAATGGCTAGTTCTAATCAAGTTGAAGAACAGAGACCACAAGTTTATTTATGATGTATTCTATGTACCGAATATGAAGAACAATTTACTCAGTACGGGCCAATTTCTTAAAAAAGGGTATGATCTGCACTTCTCTGGTAATCAACTCCTAATCTTTGATAAAAGATGTGTATTTATTCTTAAAGCACCTATGACAAATAATCGCATGTTTCGAGTTGACATTCAGAACGATGTTTATCATTACTCCAATGTTATTATAAAAGATAAGTCTTGGTTGTGACATCTTCGGTTTTAACATTTGAATTTTCACAGTCTAAAGTTGCTTGCACAAAGAAATTTGATGAGAGGCTTGCCCGTGATAGATCATCCCGAACAGTTATGTGAAAGTTGTATTCCTGGAAAGCAACATAGATCATCCTTTGGTATTGAAAATACTTAGAGTGCAAAGAAGTATCTTAAGCTCGTTCATTCAGATGTGTGCGTCCTATAAAACACTATATCCAATGGTAATAATCGATACTTTCTTACTTTTATTGATGATTTCACAAGGAAAATATGGGTCTATTTTTTACAGTAAAAATCTGAAGTGTTTGATTATTTTAAGAGCTTTAAAGCCCTAGTTGAGAAGGAAAACGGTTACTTTATCAAGGAGTTACGAACAGATAGAAGAGGTGAATATACTTCTAAAGAATTTAATAAGTATTGTGCAGAAGAAGGAACAAAGCATGATGTCACTTTTTTCCTACACACCTCAACATAACGACATCGCTGAACGGAAAAACCGGACGATACTTGACATGGCAAGAAGCATACTAAAGGTCAAAGATATACCAAATTATTTTTGGGGTGAAGCTATCTCATGCATTGTATACTTGTTGAACATGTCTGATGTCACTAACAAAGTGCGTTGATAATCTTACTCCTGAAGAGGAGTGGACTGGTTATAAGCCAAGTGTAAGACATCTTAAAGTGTTTGGCTCCATTGCTTATGCTCATATTCCAGCAGAAAGAAGAAAGAAACTTAATGACAGAGGTGAGAAGATAATTTTTATCGGCTACAAATCCGAAGGCTACAAACTCTACAATCCTACTACAAAGAAGGTGATTGTAAGCAGAGATGTTATGTTTGCTGAAGAAGAAGCTTGAAATTGGGATCTAGAAGCACAAAACGATTCATAGCGTACTCTCCTTGATATTCTTAAAGACGTTGTCCCTGTTGCAACTGAAGAAGCACTACCGATCAATACTTCTGAAACTCCAACCCTGCAAGTTCCATTAGAAGTTGAAAGACCAAGAAGAAATCACCAACCATCAATTCTCTTAAGAGATTATGAAGTAACTCCAGATGATGATGTTGATGCAGATGGAGATATAGTGCACTTTACAATGTTGCAGATTATGAGCCAGTTATGTTTGAAGAGGCTATTCAAGAACCTAAGTGGATAAATGCAATGAAAGAAGAGATAAAGACGATTGAGAAGAATGACATGTGGGAGCTTACTAATATCCCGCAAGGACATAAAGCAATCGATGTGAAGTGGGTTTTTAAAATAAAGATTAAAGCGAAAGGTGAGGTTGAGTGGCATAAAGCAAGATTAGTGGCGAAAGGCTACGAGCAAAGGCCTGGTTATGATTACACTAAGAGGTTTTTTTTTGTTGCTAGAATTAAAACTGTTAGATTAATAATTGTCCCGACTGCACAGAAGCATTAGAATATTCATCAGATGGACGTGAAGTCAGCTTTTCTTAATGGGCCACTTGAAGAAGAAGTTTTCGTGAAGCAGCCACTTGGATTTGTGAAGAAAGAATACGAGCATAAAGTATACAAGTTAAAAAAATGTTTTGTACGGGCTGAAATAGACGCCACGAGCATGGAACAAAAGAATTGATTCTTTCTTTCAAGAAAGTGAATTTCAGAAGTGTCCCTCCGAATATGCCTTATATATGAAGATAAACAACTCTAGTAATATACTAATATTAGTATGATTGAAGATTTTAAGAACCCTATGATGCATGAATTTGAGATGACAGATCTTGGCTTGATATCTTATTTTCTCGACATTGAAGTAGTTTAAGGAGATGATGATATTTTCATATGTCAAAGGAGGTATTGTGCAGTTGAAGAGGTTTCAGATGTTTAATTGCAATCTTGTTAGAATTCCTGTGGAGATTGGTACTAAATTATCTCGAAAAGGTGATGGTGCGGAAGTTGATCCAACCTATTTGAAGCAAATTGTTAGGAGTTTGAGATATCTCACATGCACAAGGTTAGATATAGCTTATGGAGTTGGTTTAATCAGCAAATATTTGAAGGCCTCTTACCAATCTCATCTACAAGTTGCAAAGAGAATTATACGGTATCTAAAAGGGACTTATGATCATGATTTGTTTTATTCTTCATCTAACAATTGTGATGTTGTAGGCTATTCTGATAGTGATTGGAGTGGAGACCATAATGATCGTAAAATCACTTCTGGCTATGTCTTTAATTTTGGTACCACCGCATTTTCATGGTCGTCGAAGAAGCAGTCTGTTGTTGCACTCTTAACTTGTGAAGCGGAGTATGTAGCAGTTGTGTCAAGTGCTTGTCAAGCAATTTGGTTACGTAATGTGCTAAGTCAGATTCATATTCAAGTTGAAGGTCCTACAAAAATTTATGTTGATAACAAGTCCGCAATTGATTTGG